GCTGGGTATAGAGACGTTGTCTTACGTGAGATATGGGCGTGCTGTAACAATATTTCCCGGTTTCATCTGCTGTCGAAATTCCCAATTTGCAATCTCGTACATCTGCGAGTGAACCGTTGAAATCCACACCTGCCCTTCTTCTTCTTCTTCTTCTATCAGCCAGCAGCACTTCCGGTCCTCCCCCAAGAACGCCCTACGATAGGTACCGCATCCCGCATCCCGCATTCCCTCCCTCCCTTCACAGCCGCAGGGCACCCGCGAGCGAATCGAGGGGAAATCTCGCGCAAGGAAATATTACTTTACCTACATCATTAATCAATCAATCAATCACATCCGACCTCGCGCGATCAAGCATGACCGCAGCACAAGCGCGCCGTTCCTCAACATCACGCCCTCGGTACGAGACCAAGTCGCACCCATCCACCCATCCATGATCCCAATCCCACAGCCCGAGTCCGAGTCCGAGTCCGAGTCAGAGAAACGCCTCCTTTGTCTACCTACAGGTACCGGTACATAGCCAGCCGCTCCTGCGTACAGACAGACACCGTGAGTATCGCTGATTCAACTTTTCCCAATCTCACTGCGCAATCTGGACGGCCGCACGACCGGTCTTCGTCGGATCATCGCCCTTCTCGCATCTCCCCTCCTCCTCTCTCCCTCCGTCACACGAGAATCTGGACGTGATTCCTACGTCATTAGTGGTCTCGAAATAGGACCTGCGCACTTATTTATATCTCCTGCATGCGGATTTCCTCAGGTGATCTGGATAGAGCGGGAGTCAGAGTCGATATCGAGATGAGTAAGGGGCTCTCAACAGCACTCTACACGGTCTGAGGCGACACGTATGGAGCCTATCATTCTTGTCTCTGGGGGAGATGCCCGCCCGAGGAGATAGTTCTCGGTGCCCCACATCCCCCCATGCTTTTCGTAGTCAAGATCCTACTCTAGTTGTAACTCCTCTGCGCTGATAGAAGTACCGGTATCGAGCTCCACGGCCCACGGGTGACGGGTCTGCTACGCTGGCCCAAACACGCATACTCTATTTGACTTTGAGACCCTTGCGGATGCAGGGTTTCTTACTTTTACTGACCGAGGAGAAGTGACTTCCAGAAGCTCGACAAAAAAACCATCTCGGGCTTCGGTGCAGGTCTCAGACTCTCAGCAGAATGGGCGAGGGCCTCAGGAGAGAGAGTTTGTGGAGGTACGCGGAACGTTTGATGGACTCGCTCCAACCTCCTTAAGTTCAGCGTCTTCGGCTGAGCGAGAAGCACCGTCAAGGGCTGGTTACAAAGGGGGTCGATCATACGTGGAAGTTGGTTATACGTAGGGGGTTTGATGATAGGAATTTCTGTGAGGAGCACATTGCTCCCTTATAAGTTGACATTCGAACAGCGGCCTCCGGAGCCCACCCACCAGCTGCTGACCAACGAGCCACTGGGTGGTCCGTTTGTTGGTTCGACCCGACAGAGAACAGAGCGCCCATCTGAAACCCTGTTTAGCCGACTACTGACTACTACTACGACGTAGATGTTCTCCCGGTTCCTGAAACTTGGCGATCCAAGTGCCGTTCCCCAAGCAATGGTGGTCGGCAGCGGCATTCTACTTCCGACTCGGTCCAAGAGGAGAGCTTCGACGCACAGAAACATCTGAAATCAGTAGTCCACCTTCTGGAAATTTCGAGCGCAGCCTTCGAGAATGCGAATGCGAGGCCCGGCGAAGGGGCGTGATCGGCGGCTTGAGCCTCAATGCAAGGAAAATCTCTCGTTTGACGGATAACGACCGTTTCAAAAGTAATGCATGATGGCATCTTCGTCGTATGTCGAGAGTCGTGAGCAACGGTAGATTCCCACTAAATAGCGCCCCCTGAGAAGGAGGCAAGCCTGATGAGGTTTCAGTATACAGTAGAGGTGTGGAGGGTAGATGAAGTTATGCTTTGCCTGTGACCGCCAAGCAGGTCAACAAGGTTAGCGACGGAAACATGGTCACTCACTCTCACTCTTTGCATGATAAACTTCCGCCGTACTCTATTAACCTTCACACTTCCTACTTACGCGGTAGCCGAATGAACGTTAAGCCCTTGGTGTCACCGTATTCTCGACGGTAGTTCCAGAAGCAGAAGACTGCAAGCTGGAAAATATACAGGGTTCGTAGGTTTTCTGGAAGGGGGGTACGGAGTACTGGTATAGTACTAGTAGCTCAACCATCAGTCATAAAGTACATCCCGTACTAAATATAGTCCCTGGATATACCTCGCACTCGGCTTAATCATATTTAACCTTTGTGTTTATACTACTACGTATACGGAGTAACTCTTTGAGCCACGACCAGCAACTACTACTACGTACGTACCGTACATTACTCGTGTGGCCAGCATGTCTGTCCCCCATGTCGAAAATCATCCCAAATATAGAGTCGAATCTACGCAATATACGCTTAGCAATTTTCCTCCCCGGTTGAAAAAGATCAACACATGGGGATAGATATGCTGGCTGCACGAGCACGAGCACGAGCACGACCACGAGCACAAGCACGACCACCACCACGACCACGACCACGAGCATGAGCTGGCTAAGTATAGAACGGCGAAGCACGAACGAGCTACACACCATGATATGAGATGAGAGTCGGGAATAAGAGCATCTAGTTACCAAGTAGTTGTACAATAAGAACAATTGGTAATGAAATACAATGCACATAAAGTTGTACAGAACTATGATCAGATGAAGGGACGTTCATCGAGGTCGGACCAACTATAATTAAACATCTCATCAAGTTAGCTTCTTGGAATGCTCCACAATTGAATATCTGCGAGCTGGGGAGGGAGCTGCAAGTAGATTTGTTCAATCAAACTCGGGTCTTGTTTTCAATCCGCTGCAATGGGCGGGATCCATTCTGGATATATGTTCTCGGCTCGTTACCCCCTGGGCTGTCTCGGTCAGCCAGTTTGTTCGTTCCGCTCTGGGGATAGAGACAACGACTCTGTACAAATACAACTACAACTAATACCTTACATCTAACCGGGTGGGGAGAGCGGAGAATCCAGAATAGACAGACAGCGTTGGCGAGTCAGTTTTCGTACATGATAATTTCTACAACCATCTCGAGATCACACACTCTCTCTCTCTCTCTCTTCTCTACCACAACTACACTACAACTCGACGGTACATACCTCTCTCCCAGATCCAGTTCAACACCAAGACTGACTGACTGCAGGTGCCCAAAGTCTATCTTGCAGCCTTCCCGGATAATCGATTTTGAAACTTGGCTTCCTACTAAATCTAGTACACGCGAAGAAACTTTTGTGCTAAATGTAGATGCTGTAAGAGCTTCGTGCAGTTCAAACATTTGGGTGCCACGCGATATGCTTGTCTGTCACGACCAAAGGTTATCTCCAGCACCAGGCTCACCATATCAGGTCGCGTGTGCCCTGTCCGTCCGATGAACCACGCTCCCGAAATATCTACTTCGACTTCTGAGAAGTGTGATTACGGCTTCGACTTTTTCCCGTCCTGGCCGGAGGGCTGGCACCCAGAATCTACGTCTCGCACCCCACGTAATCGTCGTCGTCGTCGACGACTCCCCCCAAGATGACCGAAGGCAAGAGTCGGGGTCCAGAGCTCGCCAGCGTGTTCACCGCGCTGATGGTGTTCGCCATCGTCACGGTTGGCCTGCGGTGCTACACGGCCGTGTTTATCCTCAAGCGATTCTATGCCGAGGACTGGCTCTCAGTCGTGACGCTCGTAGGTGGTGCCCTCTCCGAACATCAGTGCCTCCTTGCTGACTCTGGACTCGGAAGGCTACATATGTTGCCTATTCGTTTTGCGGCTTGATGGCAATCCACTTCGGGCTCGGCAACCATGTTCACAACGTTCCCATGTCACAGCATCCCAAGGCACTCTTCTGGAAGTACATGGGCAAGTGCGTTGAACCCGGCCGTGGCCATCTCCGATCTTGCAACCTGTTGTGTCCGGGCCGACGGGCTCCGCAGCCCCCAACCCGAGGCATACGTGTAGAGAAAACATTTCGCTGACGGGCAATCTTCACAGGTGTTTCTACGTGCTGGTCGCCGTCCTCGTCAAGTGGGTCGTCGGTCTCCTCCTACTGCGAATCTGTTCGCACCAGCGATGGCAGCGCAACACCATTCGGACGCTCTTGGCTATCATCACTGTCTTCAACGTGTTCTACATCTTCACCGTTATCTTCCAATGCTGGCCCATTCCCTACTACTGGTACATCTACACCCCGTCCGAACACAACCGGATCAAGGGCTCTTGCAACAGCCACCCCCTAGCCACGATACCTACCTACGTCAGCATGGCGCTGAATGTCGTGGCGGACTGGACTCTCGCCCTGCTGCCAGTATCCGTGGTCTGGAAATCGAGCATGGACCGCAAGACCAAGGCATCTGTGGTTGGCATCCTCGCGATCGGATCCATGTAAGTTCTTTTTTTTTTTTTTTTTTTTTTTTTTTTTTTTGGATCCTCCTGCGCACGAGACACGGCACTGACCTTGGCGGCACAGAGCATCTCTCGCCACGGTCACTCGCATCCCGTACGCGCGACAGCTCCTCGACAAACCCGACTACCTCTACAACTTCACCGACCTCGCCATCTGGTCGACGGTCGAGATCGGCCTCGGCCTCGGCGCCTCCTCGCTCGCGACCCTGAAGCCCTTCTTCCGCCAGCTCAACATCCTCCTCGAGACTCGCCTGCCGAGCTTATTCACGAACAGCAACAACGCCAGCACCGGCACCAGCAGCCTGGAACGCTCCTGGAAGGCCCGCAAGCGGTCCAACCCGCTGTCGACGGGCCTGTCGGGCACCTTCACCGAGATTGGGGACGAGGAGCGGGAGCTGGACATGCTGCCGTCGAAATCGTCCGAGGCGGGCATCGGAGGGGCCATACCGCCGTCGCATCACGCTCCCGTTATCATCACCCGGCCGCTGGCTTCGCACCCGGTATCGCCCACGCGGCACGATTTCCACGACTTCCACGCGTCCTAAATGTTCTTTTTCGAAAAAAAAAAAAAATCTATTGGTTATTAATCTACCTTCCATCTCCTGCCTTGATTTTCCCTCCCCAATCTGTGAAGAAGTCCCTGTCAAATCTTTCAATAGCTGTCAGGGCGGGATCACGAGATGGAGCCAAAACAAGGACCGGGCTGCGTTCCAACGATGAGTATCAATCAGTACGTACCGACGTTCGGAAACTCTCCCATATCAACATGCCCATTTCAATATCACCTCTCGAATCGCAGGATCAGGCTGTTCTCCTACGACGAAACAAGGAAATCCATCGGATCCATAATTCCAGTCTCCCAGGACCGTCCTCTCCAAAGCCGACAGCGAAGAAAACCGACATTCCCTCCACCAATCATCATTCCCCACCCATCTTGGCGTCACTTCAGAGCGGTCCGCCATCCAACGAATCCACGGTTCCTCCCGGGCAAAACACGTGTTTCCGCGTCTGTCAAGATCATCCACGACAAGAGCCGGCAGATAGATGTAGAGCGCGAATGGATCTCGTCTCCTCTCATCTCGTTTTCCAGCCTCCGCTTCGGACAAGCCCGAATCTAGATATCCGAGTCGGGAGAAGAAGCGGATGCTCAGCCCGAGGCGTCGTTGTTTACTGTCGCTTGGTGAAGATGCGCTGGGGTTAGAGAGGAAAGGAAAGGAAGGAAAGGAAAGGAAACCATTAGGGATGAGTCGGCTTGTCGAGGCAACTGCTGCTATGCTATGCTATGCTAGCTAGCCAGCCTCCGAAAATCCCGTGCCGATCCTAATGAACCTGTCAAGGGAAGAGGAGGAGCAAAAAGGCAATCTCTCTCGTATTGCACCCTGCAATACTTGGCTAGCTCGGCCCACGGAAGAAGTCTGTCTGCTAAGCTTACCCCCCTTTTGGAGAGTTTGGAGATCGGCGCTCGTGCATGCATTGGAGCCAGAAAGCAATAAAGCAAGAAGGCAAGATAGGGGAGAGAAGAAGGCAAGATGAATAAACCAACAGACGGCTGCGCGAGCGAGACGGGGTTGAGAAGAGAGTAGCTCGTCACGGCTGCTGACACTGACGTGCAGAATCGGATGCCGTCTGCCCGTCCGTCCGTCCGTCCGTCCGTTTCCTCGAGAGACAGACGCTTAATGCCTCAGGCTGCCGAGGAAGGGTTTCCTCTCGCGCCTGGGAAGGCAGGCAGGCAGGAGGCAAAGCGGGTGGCGCCCGATCTCACCGGACGAGGAAATTTTTTTATTTTTTTTTTCTTTCTCTCTTCTTCGTCGGCAACTGCCGCGACGTGAGCTACCCCTCTCCGCCCCGGCATCCTGCAGCGCTCTGGGTAGCGCGGGCCGAGAACCTCTCCGGATCAGACCACACA